ATCATTCTAGGATGCACATCTTTCTTTGTATCTTCGTATGTGGTCGCCTTCATCAAGAATACCACACTCGCTGGGATTCTTGTGTCACTTGTGCCTGCTTTCATGCTTCTTGCCACAGTGGGTAGCATGTTCACTGCAAAGTTCGCGACTGCAATGACTGAGAAGATCGCCTCTGCTTCTTCGATCGCCTCAGAGGTTCTTGCGAATATCCCGGTTGTCCAGGCATTTGGGGCGGGTCCGCGACTAGAGGCCATTTTCGCTGAGAGGATGAAGGGGGCTCGAAAGCAGGGTGTTAACAAGGCTTTCGTTGCTGCTATTCAAGCTGGAATGCTTTACTTCATTGCTTACTCTGCAAATGCCCTTGCTTTCTGGCAGGGTAGCACACAAATTGCGAGCATGGTTGAGGGTAATGGCGGTGCATCTGTCGGTGACATTTATACCGTCATTCTCCTGCTGGTTGATGGTAAGCATCTGCTTCACGAGATTGAATCTTCTGACTGACTTGAGATAGCCTGTGTTGTTTTGGGAGGTATCGCACCGCTGCTGCCCTTAGTTGGAGCTGCTGTTGGATCGTTTGAAAAACTTCGTGAAGACATGGACAGCCCTGCAGTCATCGATACTGGATCTGATAAAGGAGAGAAGCTCTCCTCGGTCGAGGGAACTGTATCTTTTAGGAACGTATCATTTGCTTATGCCTCACGGCCCCATCACTCCGTGCTCAAGAACGTCTCGTTTGATTGTCCTGCTGGCAAACACACGGCGCTTATTGGCTTGTCAGGGAGTGGCAAGTCAACTATCGCTGGTCTTACATCCCGAATCTATGACCCTGCTGAAGGCACGGTTCTCCTAGATGGTCATGACCTCAAAAACTTGAATGTGAAAAGCTTGAGGAGCCATATGAGTCTTGTACAGCAAGAGCCATCTCTCCTAGATCGATCCATCGTTGAGAACATAGCCCTCGGTATTTTGAACTCCCCTCAACCTGGGCATGAGCGATTCAAGGCTACTATTCTCGGCACCGGCCTCACTGAACTTGCTGCCAAGCTCCGACGGGGTGAAGATCTTACGACTGCAGCTCAAGGATTTGGTCAGGACATGATTGACCTCGTTCACCGTGTTCAGGAGGCTGCCCGTCTAGCGGACGCGGCTGGTTTCGTGGACAGGCTTGAGTATGGCTACGGAACTCTTGTTGGTACAGGGGGGAAGCTTGTTAGTGGCGGCCAACGACAGCGCCTTGCACTCGCAAGAGCCCTCATTCGCGACCCCAAGATCCTGATCCTCGATGAAGCCACTGCATCCCTTGACTCTGCAAGCGAACATCGTATCCAGATGGCCATTGAATGTATCGCCAAAGACCGCACTGTCATTGCCATTGCTCACCGGTTGTCAACTATCAAGAACGCTGATAACATCATCGTCATGAACAGCGGTGAGATTATCGAGCAAGGAAACCACCTTGAGCTCATGGCCTTGAATGGATCGTACGCTAGTATGGTCCGTTTGCAGACGGTCGACTCTGAAGATGCTGGCTCAACCACGAGTACCGTCCGCACCGATAACATTCACTCGGAGAAGGATTCTATCACGGATCTCAAAGCCAAGGACGTAGAACAAGAGGTAGCAGAAGACTCAAAGGAAGAAATTATCAAGGAGAAGGAGGCGGCCCCCGAGGGAGACGCTGTTCTTGATTCCAACAAGTCCGCTTGGACTGTTATGAGAACCCTCAGTGGAATGGTCCGACCATATCTCCTTCTCATTATTGTCTGTCTCTTCGCTGCCACTATTGTTGGCCTCACATTCTCCTCCTCTGGTCTTATCTTCGGTTATACCATTGACAACATCAGCCCATGTAATCCTGTTGAAGACATTCGTTGGGCTGGTAGGTTCTTCGGGGGCATGTGGTTCCTGATCGCTTGTGTCGAGTTGTTGGCCAATACTACAAGTTGGACTGGCTTCGGCATGGTTGCTGAGAAGTTGTTGTACAAGATCCGAGTCCTTTGCTTCCGCTCCCTTTATGAGCAAGACCTTGATTGGCATCAATCAGAGGGCCGCACACCAACTGCTTTGTTATCCGTCATCACCACAGATGCTGCCACAGTTGGCGGTTTCAGTGGCTCTATCATTGGTACAATATTCTCCATTGTGGTGAACTTCTTGGTCGCTATCATCCTCTCACATATCCTTGCCTGGAAGATTGCCATCGTCTGTTTGGTTATCGTCCCTATCCTCCTTGGCTGCGGCATTATGCAGCTTCGCTCTCTATCCAAGTTCGAGCGCCGGCATGCTGGAGCATTTTCTGGTGCAGTTGGCATCGCTAACGAAGCCGTCAACTCGTTCAAGACAATTTCCTCGCTGTCTATCGAAGAAGAGATCATGAGCTCGTATCGTCGGGCACTCAGAGCACCTCGAAAGGAAATCACCCTTGCTTCCATGTATGCCAACTTGTGGCTTTCTCTGGCTAACAGCACGGGAAATCTGATCTACGCATTTGCCTACTGGTGGGGATCAACTCGCATTACCGCAGGCGAGGCAAGCCAGCGAGAGTTCTTCATCATTCTCATCTGCATGCTTGTCAGTGCGCAGCTCTGGGGTCAGATGTTCAGTCTTGCCCCCGAGGTATCTCGTGCTAGAGCCGCCGCTTCCCGAATTCTGAGCTTGATCAACATTGGATCCTCCCAGAATGACGCCAGGAAGGGAAAGCTCACGCTCGCTATTGAAGACACCGAGAAAGATGTCGAAGCATGTGCTGAAGCGCCCGTCAAGAGTCATGAAAGCAAGGGGGCGACAATCGTCTTTAGGGATGTCAAATTTTCATATCCAGCTCGACCTCACATCCAGATCCTCACGGGAATGTCTTTTACCATCTCTGCTGGTCAATTCGTTGGGCTTGTCGGCCCTTCGGGTGCTGGTAAGTCCACCATCATGTCGCTGGTACAACGCATGCACCGTCCTTCTAGCGGAACGGTTGAGATCAACGGCAACGATATCTGTGCTCGGGAGAGCACCGAGTTCCGTAATGATATTGCGGTTGTTCCTCAAGACTGTGCACTCTTCGACGGGACAATACGATTCAATGTATCGCTTGGCTCAACTCCTGATCACGAACCAACAGATAAGGAGATCCATAAAGCATGTAAGCTGGCTAACATCCACAATGTAATCATGGAGCTACCCAACGGTTACGACACGGAATGTGGTCCTAATGGCTCTCGTCTTTCTGGCGGACAGCGTCAGCGTCTAGCCATCGCCCGCGCCCTTGTGCGTAAGCCTAAGTTGCTGCTTCTTGATGAGAGCACAAGCGCCCTCGATGCTGAGAGTGAGCGGGCTTTGCAAGAAGGACTTGAGAGGGTGGCACGTGGTATCACCGTGATCGCCATCACACATAGGCTTCACACGGTACGCAAGGCCGATGTCATCTTCATGATTGAGGGAGGCAAGGTTGTTGAAAAGGGAAGACACGAGGAGTTGGTAGAGAGAAGTGAAACCTATCGCACAAATGCTCTACAGCAGATGCTTGGTAACTGATCCATGTTGGAGATACCCCCACGCCCTTAGGAAGAGGCCAGAAAGACCTATTCCAAGTGACAAAAATACTTAGGTTAATTTGGGATGGATTAGACATTTAGATTAATTAATATTGACACCCTAAGTTTACCCTTTCTTACCCCCTGGCGCCTCAAAGCCTACGCCTGACCTCCACCTCTTCTTCAGTGTCTCAGCCGATAGAATGTACAGAGGGTGCAGCCTCGTGAAGCCATCCTGTCAATTCAGGGGATTTGCCCACGTTTTCTATCATGTGATGGCTCTTGGGCACACCAACATTTTGAATTTGCGTATCTGTGTTTTTGTTCCCCCTGTTTTGAAGAAGAAGAAAAAGAAAGACAAGACATGCTGATATATCATGCATTTCCGTGGAAGCTTTTGTCGTATTTACAAGGGTCCTGGCTGGAATAGTGGATGAAACGAGAATGAATCTTTGCCTGTAGAATACCTAAATTAGGTGCAAACAGAGGATAACGTAATGAAACTTGGTCTAAGCAACAACATGTCTATATATAGGCGTTGTATATAAATCTAAAATCGGCCTCTCACAATCGACTTATTTGTTACTGCAACTGCAACTTCAACTTCTGCAAGTCCCGAAGAACTCCAGGGAACGACGTCACAGTGTACAAGGATCAATCTGCACGGAAACTCAAGACCGGCCAATCATGGGCGACTTCGGTGATCTTTTGCAGTAAGTATCCGCATTAACTAACCCCTTGACTTGCGCGTTGCTTCATTCTCAACGATTGCCCAGGGTTTGGCTCCTTGCATTACAGCCAAGCTCTCACTTATTCCTTATGTACCGTCGTCAGATGATCTCTTTGTCCCAAATCTAAGGTACCTTAGCAAGGTTTACTTGCTTTGACCCTACAGAACGCGGTGCGGTATCAGTGGAGACGTTAGTGGTGCACCTTTTTTGGGGGGGTTCAACGGGGCTGCCGCGACGATTTCCTCATCCCACAGTCCAAAGAGTCCACTCCAAGAGGATCTTGACACCCAATTGGGACCCTCGAACCACATGCCTTCCGTCACCGGGACACACTCCATCTTTTCCAATACTTTGTTGGTCGATAATCGAAAAAATCTAACTCACTCGGTGGTTCAACCTTCAAGTCGCAACCATTCCCTCACCACCGCCCCACGACGATCCCTCCTCTCTTCCCGGCGTTGCACTCACCACGTTTCAAACTCGCATCAACGACGCCCATCCGAGACGAGGAGGGAGTGCTGCTGCCTCCCTACTAGACGACCCAGTCCCGGTACCACAGCATCAGCACCAGCACCAGCACCAACCCGATAGTAGTGCAAATACGAGCACCAGCGCCCACCGGAGCGAGCAGTTCGAACTCGTCGATTACCCTCCAATCCAGGCTCGTCGAGACGCCCAAGATCGTGAAGCAAGAAGACAGGCCAAGCGAGACGATAAGCGCCGCTGGCTAGAAGAACAAGACGAGATGAAGTTCTCCCATAGCATTCAGTTCAATGCTGTTCCAGATTGGAGCAGCCATTACATTGCATACAGCAATCTTAAGAAGCTGTATGTGCTGCTAACATTGCATTCAAGCCACACGTGAGCTAATATTATCTTCTCGCAGAATCTACAACCTCGAAAAGACCGCCCATCAGGCACGCGGAACCACTGGCGATGCCGAATCTCGACCTCTTATAAACCAAGAAGATGCCGAAGAGGTCTTCTCTCGAGCTCTTGGCGTCGAGCTAGAAAAGATATGCTCATTCTACGTTGCCAAGGAAGGCGAGCTGCTCGAGGAAGCTGCGCAACTGCTACGCGACGTTGGTGACGAGGCCGAAGATGCCATCGCCGATAACCGCTACCTTCGCAGGCTCTCTGTTTCATCAGCCCACCGTCCTGATGGTCGCAACGGCTTCCGCTCGAGAAGTCCTCGGAGCCGTAGCACCGACAATGAAGAGAGCGCGAGCGAGGAGGAAGATGAGACTACTGGGCTTACAACGAGGCGACGAAGCAGCGGAGGCCGCAGGCGCACACTTCCCAACATCCATAAGCCGCATTCTGAAGATCTGAACGCTTCCTCCGAGTTCGGTCGCGACATGAGGAGGCACAGCACCACAGTCGACGAAAACGATGAACAAGCTCTCATGTTCTCTTCTGGCATGTTTTCGTCTGGTATCATGCTCAAGAAGCGCATTATCGGCCTCTATGTATCACTCTGCGAACTCAAGTCATTTATCCAGCTTAACCGCACCGGTTTTGCCAAGGTGCTCAAGAAATTCGACAAGATCCTTGATAAAGAACTCAAGGGACCCTATTTGCGAGCCCATGTCGAGACAGCCTACCCCTTTAAAGATGAGACAAAGCGTGTTCTCGAGGACAACATTACCAAGATGGAGAAGGCCTATGCTGAGATTGTCACTGGCGGAGATGAGGAGCTCGCTCGCAAAGACCTTCGTTCGCATCTCAGAGAACATGTTGTCTGGGAGCGTAACACCGTGTGGCGAGATCTTATTGGTATCGAGCGCAGAGCTGAAGCTGCGGGCTTGGGACAAGCACTTCTCGGACAAGAGAGAGGGAATGTCACAAGGAGGTTGCAAGGCGACGAGGCCAAAGCTCCCCGAGAAACCCAGTTCCGCACACCCTTTGGCAAGATTACCTTACCTCCATGGCTCGCTAGCTCGTCTCTTTGGACACTGGTTGCTTGTCTTACTGTCTTCTTCCTGCTGCTTCTGCTCCCCATCATGGAGAAGCCCGAGCAACAGAACTGCCTGGCAATGCTTGTCTTTGTCAGTTTGTTATGGGCCACTGAGGTAAGTTTTCCAGCCAGGCAAATTCGCGATTGACCATTGCTGACCTTTTTAGACCATTCCCCTCTTTGTGACATCATTACTTATCCCATTCCTCTCTGTTGTCTTGAACGTCGTTCGTGATGAGACACCAGGCAAGCCTCAAAAACGCCTCGACTCTAAAGCAGCCACATCTGCCATCTTTGCTGCCATGTGGACGCCTGTCATCATGCTTCTACTCGGCGGTTTTACTCTAGCAGCTGCTTTGTCCAAGTGTACTATTGACAAGCGACTGGCGACTCTTGTCCTTAGCAAGGCCGGCACCCAGCCCAAGACTGTGTTGATTGCCAACATGTTTGTGGCCGCATTTGCGTCTATGTTGATTAGCAATGTCGCGGCTCCTGTGCTATGCTATTCTATCATCGAGGTCAGTCAATCAATGAAATGGATAGAGGCTCAAACTGACAACCATACAGCCCATGCTGCGAACGTTGCCTTCTGATTCCAACATGTCGAAAGCTGTCATTATTGGTATCGCACTCGCCTCCAATATCGGTGGAATGCTCTCACCCATCGCTTCTCCCCAGAACGTCGTGGCAATGGGCATCATGCAACCCGCGCCCACGTGGCTGCAGTGGTTCTTTATTGTCATTCCTGTCGGCGCTCTCTCGATTGTTCTGATCTGGCTCCTCCTCCTGGTTACCTTCCAGCCAGGCAAGGGTACCACGATTGCCCCTATTCGGCCTGTCAAGGAGAAGTTCACTGGTCTCCAATGGTTCGTTACTATCGTCACCATTTCTACCATTGCTTTGTGGTGTGCCAGCCACCAGCTAGAGGCCGAGTTTGGAGACATGGGTGTTATTGCTATTATCCCCATCGTGCTATTCTTCGGCATCGGCTTGCTGACCAAGGAGGACTTCAACAACTTCCCATGGACCATCATCATCCTTGCAGCCGGTGGTTTGTCTCTGGGCAAAGCTGTACGCTCGTCTGGTCTGCTACATACCCTCGCTGAGATCGTCTCTGAGAAGGTGGAGGGCATGAGTCTGTACGGTGTCCTGGTTGTTTTCTCAACTCTGATCTTGGTTATCGCAACATTCATCAGCCACACAGTCGCTGCCCTTATCTTCCTGCCTCTTGTCTTTGACGTTGGTGTTGCTATGGACCAGCCTCACCCCAACCTGCTTGTCATGGGTGGAGTGCTCATGTGTAGTGCAGCCATGGGTCTGCCAACCAGTGGATTCCCCAACATGAGTAAGTTTCATGCATTTACCCCTAACGACTCAATTCTAACCTATCATAGCTGCTATCATGAAGGAAGACCCGTTCGGCCAGCGTTATTTACAGGTCAAGCATTTCATTAGCCGCGGTGTGCCCAGCAGTCTCATTACTCTTGTTGTGGTTGTGACTCTTGGTTATGGGATTATGCAAGTCGCGGGACTTGACTAAATTAATGGGGTGTCGATATATGTGTTGTTGTTTTGGTGTTTGAAACTCGGTGTTATTTTACATTGGTTCTGTCAGGTGCATTGCCAAGTTCATGAGTGTAGATCAGGCGTCGGGATTCATAGACTGGAAGATATTTCTGTTTTCTTTTTGTCAGTCAAATATGAAGTGCTGCGAATAAATGTTGTTATATAGCGTTTCAGTAGATATCATCAGGCTTGGTTCTTCTATCTAATGTGGTTGTTAGTATGGGTTCGCATTGTCGCACTGTATCGTTGTAATGCAAGAAGCTCTGGCCATCTATTGACGTCGATGGTTGGCGGCATGACCCTGCCACTGGATACCGACTCCCAACTGACTACCTACCTACTAACCTTACCTGTCCTACCATTCCTGTCCATCGAACTACCCAAACACACCAACAACACTTAACACTGACTGTCTATCCTGCGACCTCATGGTTCAAACTTGTCGATAGCGTCTTCACCTGGCAAACCGTGCGCTTGGCTAACTCTGGGACCGACTGATGCGCCTCTTCTCCCAATAGCCTATACAGCTTCGAGCTGGCCGGCGCCATGCTCTCCGCTTTCACAGCACGTCCCATCATCGAGCTGCGACAAAAGGATAAGTCTAAGATTGAGACGATACTCGCTCAAGGTATACGCATACCCCAGTGGTCTCGCTGCTCTTTCACCGCAGTTTCTACGACACCGACTAACTAACTCTCGGCTCTCAGGTGACCGCGTTCTCGTCGGCCTTAACAATGGCGCACTCCGAATCTACCGTCTAAATGAGCTTTCCGACCAACCTCAGAATGGTTGCACTGATACAAATACTAATGGTTCGTCGTCTGCGGTGGGCGAAAACCATAATACTGCGAAAAGGTCGGAAAAGCCAACTGATTTGATGCGCGAGGTGGAACGCTTCTCGACGCGAGCAATCGAGCAGCTGGCTATTATAAAGGACGCAAACACAATTGTATCCTTGTCGAATTATCACGTCTCTTTTCACGATCTGAAAACCTACGAACTTATTGAGACCTTAAGCAGGACCAAGAATGCATCATGCTTTGCGTCAACATCGAATATTGTCAAGGATCCGGACACGGGAATTCCCGAGATCGTGAGCCGGCTGGCTGTTGCGGTCAAGAGGAAATTGCTACTCTGGAGCTGGCTTGAGAGCGAACTTTCTGAGGATGTGGACGAGATCGTGCTGCCTGAGTCGATTCGATCAGTAACATGGGCAAATGCGACAAAGTTGGTGTGTGGTATGAATGGCGGATACGTGATGGTCGACGTCGTAACACGTGAGGTGGAAGATATCGTGAGTCCGGGTTCGGGACCAGCAGCTGGGCAGACTAGCCGATTCGGTGCAATGAGCAGTGCTGGTATGGGATACATGGGATTGGGAGGTTATATGCCCAAGCCTCTGGCGGCCAAATTGGCCGAGGGACAAATGTTGCTCGCAAAGGATATCAACACACTATTCATCGACGATGACGGGAAACCCCTCGACAGACGGCAGATTCCCTGGAATCATGCCCCTGAGTCCATAGGGTACTCGTACCCATATATTCTTGCCTTACAAGCGCCCTCAAAAGGCTCCCTGGAAGTTCGGAATCCTACAACATTATCATCACTTCAGAATCTATCACTACCAGGCGCTTCTCAGCTTCACTTCCCGTCACCCACTTACAGCTTAGCACATGCCGGGAAAGGTTTTCACATCTCCAGTGAACGATGTGTTTGGAAGATGGACTCAACAGACTATGACTCCCAGGTTCAGGAACTAGTAGACGGTGGCCATTTCGATGAGGCTATTAGCATTCTCGAAATGCTTGAAGATGCACTGCTGAAGAACAAGGCGCAGACACTTCGCGAGGTCAAGATGCTCAAAGCTGAAGGGCTGTTCAAAAAAAAGAAATATCGCCAGGCGATGGATCTCTTCAATGAGGATACCGTACATGCACCCCCTGAACGAGTTCTGAGGATGTTTCCTCCATCCATTGCTGGAGAACTATCTGCCTGGGCTGGCCGCGAAGAGGAAGAAGAAGAGTCGGATGACGCCCCAGGAACACCGAAGAAAGCCAATGGCACTCGTCCCACCACCCCTGAACCCGTTGAGCAGGTACAGGAAACTCCGCAGTCAAGCAAAGGAGGCTTCGCCAGATATCTTACCGGCAGCTATAGGAGGCCCCAGTCGGACACCGCATCCATCCTCTCAAAGAAGGATACAGCGGACGGCGATGATGCTGCTAGTGTGAGGGAGGCTGAGTCAAACGAGGATCTGCCTTTGAAAGACAAGGACTTGACGAACGCGGTTCTGGAGCTCAACAGTTACCTGGCTGGGACCCGTGCTCGATTACAACGGGTGATTGATCCTGTGACTGGAAACCTGAAACCTCAAAGTGATCGAAATGGTTCAACAGAAGAGATAGCTGAGAAGTTCCTACGGATAGGGCTCGATGACTCTGAGAAGAAACTCGAGGAGGAGCTCCGAATCACCTTTCGTTTGGTCGACACAACTTTGTTCCGAGCATACATGTTTTCTCGACCAACTTTGGCAAGCTCTCTGTTTCGAATTCCTAACTTCTGTGACCCTAATGTGGTTAACGAAAAGCTTTTGGAACACAATCGCTATACCGAGCTGGTGGATTTCTTCCACGGTAAGAAGCTACATAAGGAGGCTTTAGAACTTCTACGACGATTTGGAGCCGCTGAAGAACCCGACGAGGCCGCACCAACACTTCACGGACCGCAGCGCACCATCCAGTACCTCAAAAGTCTGCCACCATCAGAAATTGACCTCATCCTTGAGCATGCAGAATGGACCCTCAAAGCCAGTCCAGATGAGGCCTTAGAGATCTTCACGGGCGACACAGAGAATGCGGAGACCCTCCCACGGGAACGAGTTGTGTCTTTCTTACATGATGTTGATACACAGTTAGAAGGACGCTATCTGGAACATATTATCACTGAGCTTGAAGATATGACACCAGACCTTCACGACCGATTAGTTGAGCTCTATGTAGAAAACTTGAAGAAGATGGACAAGGGCGAGAAGTGGGATGAAATGATGAATCACTTCATCGAGTTCTTGAGACAGCCGCGGCAGGTTTACAGTCTCAGCAGGGCGTTTAGATTGATTCCCAGAGATGGTAAGATTCATATACAGTTATGTGGTGATCTATACTGACTTATATCGACTTAGACCCAGTATTTTACGAGGCACAGGCTGTGGTATTGAGCAACATGAACCAACACAAACAAGCCCTTGAGATCTATGTATTCAAGATGAAGGACTACCAGAAAGCTGAACAGTATGTCATTCACCTGTTGTTCCATCGGCTCAGAAGCTAACTTCAGTAGATACTGTAACAGAGTCAACTCGACCCAAGATACCGCTCCATCATCTCAGCCAAATGAGAAGAATGAAACTGGAGAGGATCCTGAGACTTCTTCACCATCTATTTATCACACCCTTCTATCGCTCTATCTTCAACCGTCACCACCCAACCAGCCCAATCTAGAACCAGCACTGGACCTTCTTTCAAAGCATGGATCACGTCTCCCAGCGACATCAACTCTAGGACTCATTCCAGACGACCTTCCCGTTCGGTCACTTGAGTCTTACTTCCGAGGCCGCATTCGGTCGGCAAATAGTCTGGTCAACGAGGCAAGGATCGTCGCTGGTTTGCGACAGGCTGAGGGCATATCTATCGCGGCGCGGCTGCACCTTGGTGACGATGTACAGGGAGGGCAAGGCGGGCGTAACAGGCACGTTGCCATCACAGACGAGCGACACTGCGTCGTGTGTCACAAGAAACTCGGAGGAGGTATGCGTATTGGCGGAAGCGTTGTAGCTGTCCTGCCGGATAACACGGTGGTGCACTACGGTTGTTTGAACCGAGCAACAGGGAACAAAGTAGACGCATCCCAGGTGCCAAGTTGGGGTCGAGGGTTCTAGACGGGTCGTTAATGCCGGATGGGAGCATCGTTTCGAGGAGCATTTGCATGGATTGGATCGGTGGTAGCCAGTATGATATTTCTCAAATACCCTTCATATTCAAACACATCTTGCCGCTGAAGGGTTTGCAATCGTTCGCGAGGAGTAGATTCCCTCAGTCCTCCTCTTCTTGCACCTCCTCGCCATAGTTCTCTTCCTCTTTGGCCTCGGCCGCAGCATCCCTCGCCTTGTCCTGCTCCATTCGCGCTGTGAGCTCTTTATTGATAGTTTCCTGGGTGTCGGCGACAGAGGCGCGCAGAGCCTTTAGATATGACGACTTGTCGGCCGTGGAGGCTGGAGATGAGATAGCCGGAAGGGTGTGGGCAACCTTGAACGGTTCACTCGCTGGGGATGTGTAGTCTGCGGTGAGAGTTGGTTGCGCCATATTGAGTTTTCGATTATTGCGTTCGGCGTTGGAAGAATATCAAAGTCTAGACTTGGATGTGGTGTTTTGACGTGGGGTTGTAGAATAAGAACCCCACATTACCTGTTCGTGGAGGTGTATGGTGCCAGAGCAATGACATGACGGAACAAGTATATCATGAAAAACAAGCTCAATCACCCAAGATACAATTCCACATTGAGCGACTGGGAGTTTGAAATCCCGTATTTTACTCAATAGATCTTCAGCTGGTATATCTTTCGCAGTCAATTATATTCAACAGCCAATTCTGTTCTAAAAACCAGGTTATTTAGTGAAGCGACTTGCTGAAGGATAAGCAATCTGGTCGACTCCAGGTTAAGCTGAAGCTGATAGTTCATGAACACCTATTCATTATCTCCACTCCACATCAGCTCAACGTTGATAAGAACTCTTGATAACTTGGTACCTAAATCACACACTAGCCTCATCAACGCCGAAACAAACCCCAAACACCGTTCCTACCTGCGACCCTGTCGATCCGGGCTCGCATCTCTTTGCGTCTCAAGATGTAACAACGGCCGAGGAGCCGCATAGAACAATAATGCAACCCTCACGCTCTCAGCCCCGCGGCCCC